TCTAGGAGGAAGCTGGAGGCCGATTCATTGCCTTTTCAGGAGAAGGACAGTCTTTACGCAAGAAGGGAAGAAAGCCGTGAATTTGGGCCCTGGGCTAATTAGAAAATAAAATAATCTATTGCAATCTTTTGGCTTTAGTTACTGGATTTGTCAGGGACAGAAGATGGTCCCCAGAGGATACTTCATGACCTGCTGTTCGTTTCCTTTAGCGTTTCTTAAATACCTCCTCTGCCCAGCCCACAAGTCAGGACTTGGTGGCACTGTGCTTTTTGGGAAAGGACCAGCAGGACTGGACTGTCTCCAAGTCACCGAGACAGCAGGCAAGCCCTCTGCACCCACCCCCCACAGCTGGGGGCCTCCACTGGCTCGGTCTGGGCCATGGGTTCTTTGTCTCCAAATAACCTGGTCAGAGAGGGCCAGGATGGCCCGAGCCTGGGGGGTCCAAGTACTTTCTCTCCATGCTCCTTTTTTATCCCCCCCAGAAATGCTGATTGCTCAGCTCAGTGCTGTTTACCGCAGGGGTCACCCCCAGAAAGGGTTTGTTCATGGTGTTTTCTAATCCCCCAGAAAGAAGCTAATAATTGGCAGATCCTTCACCGTTGAGGCTGATGGCGGAAATCATTGTGTTCCCTTCATAAACATGTTCTGTAGCAACTGCCTCCATGCTTGTAAAGTCTCAGGAACTCAAACATTGGAGCAGATGTTTGCTGAGATTTCCCCAGTGTTCTCATCGGCATTATCAGTGTCGCTTCGTTACTGGCCTCACTTAAACGTTCTAGGTCTCATTCGTGCTGGTTGGACAAGAGGACTGCCTTATTCTAGACTCTCCAGTTCTGCTGTTGATGTAATACAGCCTTTTCTGGACTTGGGTCTTGGCTTTTTTTGCTTTTAATTTAATATTTTATTTTTTCCCCAATTACATGTAAAAAACAATTTTAACATTCTATTTTTTCAAATTTTGAGTTACAAATTCTTTCCCTCCCACCCTCCCTCACTGAGAAGGCAATTTGACATAGGTTATATGTGTGCAGTCATGCAAAACACATTTCCACGTAAGTGATGCTGTGAAAGAAAACAAAGTGCGAAACCAAAAATAAACACAGTGAAGAAAAAGTGTCCTTGATCTGCATTCGGGCCCCACCAGTTCTTTCTCCGGAGCATCTTTCATCATGAGGCCCTCAGAAATGTCTTGGCTCATTGTATCGCTGAGAAGAGCTCGGTCACTCACAGCTGATCTTCATACAATGTTACTGTTTCTGTGCACGATGTTCTCCTGGTTCTGCTCACCCTACCCTGCATCAGTTCATGCAAATCTTCCCAGGCTTTTCTGAGATTTTGCTTTTTTAAACGTACTCTTCTGTAGCACAGCTGTGGGGTGTCCAACATCCTGACCTGGCTATTTGGCCTGGCTTGTTGGAAGAGTTCTTTCAGAATCTGCATTCACAAAGGAGAACGGGGAGTCCTGGGCCCGAGCCACATAAGTTTCCTTTCTGCCTGTGCTCCCTTAGTAAGCGCCTGCTGTGTGCCAGGTGAGGGGTGGTACACAGCACGTGGTCATGCTTTGCTGTCCACTGGCCCCAGCTGACAAGAGAAGAGACCGCAGAGATTACAGATAGATTTTTCTGGACCTTCCAGGCATGCAAAGTCCCTTCCAGCTCTCGATCCCTGGTGCCTGGCCTATCCTGAGTGTCTGTGCAGACAGACTTGGCCATGTCAGTCAAATGGGGTGGTGACCCCCTCTTGTGCTTTTACTTAAACCCCAGAAGAGAAGGGACCAGCTGAGCAGGCCCACGTGGAGGGAGGGCACTGAAGGTCTTTCTGACGAGGAACAGTGTGTCTCCTGCTCCTTAGATGGAACAGCAGCATACGCCATCTTGGTGTCCTGAGCCTAGTGCCAGGACAGATGCCTTCCGTCTGTAGTCGGGGCCTGGTGTGGGGGCCTTGGGAGGGTTCTGTACTCTGAATCAGATGGAGCTGAGAGGACGCAGTGAGACCCCCATGGGAGCCGGAGGCCCCTGCCCGTTCCCACGCCTCAGGCTTTCTGGGCAGCAGCCCTTTCCAGCAGGTTTGGCTAACTGATACCTGGTGATTAAATAGGTAATAAAAGGCATTACTGCAGCACCAGGCTGGTTCCTCTTAACGCTAAAAGCCACTTTGTGTGCCAAGGGGAGCTTCATGCTCCCCTCACAGAGGCCTCTGCCATTGTCACTAGTGAAGGCTGGAGACAGGAGGGAGGGCACCGCACCTCCTCCCAGCCCTGAGGCAAGGGGCATTGGCAAGAGGCAGCCGATGGCCAGACAAAGGGGCACTGGCCTTGGCATCCTTGGCCCAGCTCTGCTGCTAAGTGCCTGAGGACCTTGGGGAGGTCACCACCAGTCGGCCTTGCTTTCGTCGGCTCTGAGATGATGGCCAGCATCCCTTCTGACTTAGTGCTGTGGTTTCTATCCCCAGCTTTATTTTCCTCATCTGTAAAATGGGACTCGTCAGGACTTGCCCAAGCTGTATGCAGTGTGGTTATGAAGAAAAGGCTTCTTTAAACCTTGGCAGCCCATGTTTCTAGAGTGCTTTAAAATTTGCTTCTGAGGGGTCCCCTGGCACCAAGTCAGAGGCTCTTAACTTGGAGTCCATGAACTTAAAAACATTTTTCTGATTAGTTCAATGTAGGGGCAGCTAGGTGGCACGGTGGACAGAGTACGGGGCCTGGAGTCAGAAAGTCCTGGGTTCAAATTTGGCCTCAGACACTTCCTAGCTGTGTGACCCTGGGCAAGTCACTGTTCGTCGCAGTTTTGTCAACTGTAAAATGAGCTGGAAAAGGAAATGCTGGAAAAGGAAAGGCCAAACACTCCGGTATCTCTGCCAAGAAAACCCCCAATGGGGTCACAAAGTCAGACACAACTGAAAAGGACTGAACGACAAATTTGAATGTAATTGGTTCCCTTTGTAACCCTGTATAGTTTATGCATTTAAGCACTTTGTTCTGAGAAGGGGTGCCTAGGCTTCACCAGGCTTCCAAGGGGTCCAGGATGCACAAAGGTTAAGAACTGCTCAAGATCTGAGCTAGAACCGTCGGAAAGCGCCCCCCAGGTCAGCAGCTCCAGCCCCGAGGTCCCCGCCTTCTGCTGAGAAGACAGCCGCTGGGGTCCCCGTCCCACCGCGCGTGCGGTCCGCTCCTCACAAACGTCGCGTGGCCTGGAGTCGGAGGAGGGCAGGGTCGCTTCTCGCTCCCGTAGCAGCGATGAGACCAAAGTCACGTCTGGCTGCTCAGAGCCCGCTTCCCATTGCGGGACGTTTGCATGCTCTCCAGCAGCCCGCCTCCCCCGGGGCCTGGCGGTGCCTCCAGCACGCCCGCCGCTTCCTCTTTTTGAAAACATTTTATTTTTATTTTCAGTTTAGGAAAATACACCTCTTTCGCCCACTCTCCTTTCATCAGAGAAAAAAAAATGTGTAGGCAGATAGGGCCATTGGAGGGCGCCATGATGGGTAGAGGAGTCAGGGAGACTCATCTTCCTGAGTTCAAATGTGAACTCAGACACTTAGTAGCTGTGTGACCCTGGGCAAGTCACATCACCTTGTCTGCCTCAGTTTCCTCATCTGTAAAATGAGCTGGAGAAGGAAATGACAAACCACTCCAGTATCTCTGCCAGGAAAACCCCAAATGGGGCCACGAAGAGGCCGACACAACTGAAAAGACCCAATAGCAGTGAGCAGTCAGGAAAAAAAATCCCCTTATTAGCCATTCCCCAGAATAACATCTTTGTCTCGCTCTGCCCCTGGGTCCATCAGCTCTGCTCGGGGGTCCGGATGGGTTGTCCAGGGTCTCTGGAGTGCCTGCCCCCCCCCCCCAGCTGCTTCAGGCTGTCGGCTCTGTCCTTCCCGTTTCCCGGTCTGCAGGCATTCCCAGTGCCCCAGATTTCTCCATCTCCATGACGATCAATGGAGCCGGCATTTCCATGAGGCCTCGGGGCTGGCCCCTGTTGTCTGCAAAGGTGCATCCTGGGAGGCAGGAGCTGGCACTGTATAACCCCATTTTACAGAAGGGAAAGCTGAGGCTGACCCCAGGTAAGGGACTTCCCCAGCTGGCCAGTTCTGATTCAGGTCACCTGGGAGGCGGGAGGTGGGAGGCCATCTGATTTCAGCCCCCTCCTTTTTGGGTGAGGTGAAGGGACAGAAACAGTGGCATTAATACCACCAGACAAAGGGCCGGACCGCACTGTCCAAGAGCCGAGCACGGGCCAGCCCCGGCCCTCTGGACCCCCGAGCTGCATGCAGAGCCAGGAGCCCCAGCCGCCGGCACAAGGACCACAGACATCCTGCTCCTGCCCCAGACCTGCGCCTAGCCCTGGGTGAGCAGGCTGGACCACCCTCCTGAGTCCTGGGGGGCGAGAACCTGCTCAGGACCAGGCTCGGACCTCTCCTGGGCGTGGGGAGGGAGGAGAAAGAGAGAAGGGACGGGCGTTTACGAAGCGCCTACTGTGTGCCCGGCCCTTCACAAATCCTGGAGATAAGGTCCTGGACCCCAGGCTGGCGGGCTGGGGACAGCCTGGTGTGTAAGCAGGGCATCTGAGCCGCAGCCGTTGTTACGACGTTACGATTCACAATCATGATCGTCATTACAGCGCGTTAGGCTGTGAGCGCCTCTCTCGGTGGCCGGAGCCTGGCGCATAGTATGTGCTTCATGATGCCTGTGGGCAGACACGTATGTGCATTTTGTGCACATAATAAACACAGGAATTGTGGAGGCGAACGAGCCCCGGAGCCGAGTTCACTGGTCTTGAAAGACACCAAAGATGCAGACAGATAGAAACGAGGAGGAAACCCCAGGCATCTGGGAAAACAGAACCCACGCCCCACCCCCACCTGCTTCCCAGAGCAGGTGACCCCTCAAGCCCCGCCTCACCGACGAAAGGGTTGGTCGAATTGGAGCTGGAAGCTCATTGGTTCACAGAGATGTCAATCTCCCTACGAGAGGCTGAACCCCTTCTATTGGCTGATATGCTAAACAGGCGGGACAGGTCATGAGCTGCAAAATGGCTGACGCTGCCGAGAGCTTCTGGAGGGTCCGTGAGGGGGCACGGGGGTGGCTTGAGGGGCCGGGAAGAATCGGGAGCCAGGCTGGGGATAGGGTCAGGGCGAGGGGCAAGAGGGCCAATGGGGAGGCCCGAGGCCGAGCAGGCCTGGAGACGGAGGGAGCCGGACCTAGGGCATGAGGCTGGGGGCGGGGCCCAAGGGCCGAGGGGCGGGACTTAGCTGGTGCTTTGTAAGAGTCTGAGAGATTGGGGAGGGACAATGTTCTGGTGGGCGGGGCTAGTAGGGAGGAGGGCGGGTCCATGCGTGAGGAGGCGGGGCTGACAGTTGAGATGATAAAGCCTTAGCCCACAAGACCAGAAGCAAGCGCCTAAGAGGCGGGGCTAAGGCTGGGGGCGGGGCCGGCGGAACCTGTATGAGATAGGAGCTTTCTGTGAGGCTAAGGAGCTCAAATCAGGACTTAGGGTGATGGGTGGGCGTGGTCAATGCTGGGAACCTGGGCTGAGGCTAGGGGCGGGGTCAAGAGGGAAACTGACAGTTGATTTCTTGAAGGGGGGGGCTAAGAACTGGACTTGAGGCTGGAGATGCGGGGAAGAGGAAACTGACAGTTGAGGGTTCCTGGGGAGAGCTGAGTAGTGGGAGTCAGGGTCGTGGGAGGCCCAAGCCTGCCTGGGTTAGGGGCAGGAGGCCTGAGTATCTTGGTACAGAAGTGGGGAGCCTGCCAGGGCCTGGGTGCTGAGGGCCTGCGCTGAGCCCACCAGTGGGGCTAGGTGATAATGATGGTGATGACAGTAACAGCACCCCTGGGAGTGTCTTCAGTCCCTTTGAAACAGGCTCAGAGGGGAGACACAGAACAGCGGCTCCCATGTGCCTGGAGGCTTTTTTAATAAAAAATAAATAAAATTGTATTGATATCTTGTACTTTGCATCACCAGAATTTTCTCCCAGCATCCCTTTATCTCCTCCTCCCAGAAAGCCATTCTGTATAACAAATATTTTTAAGAAAAAAAAAAAAGAAAAAACAATTAGCAAAGCAGATTAATGCCTTGAAGAAAAAAAAGAAAGAAAAGAAAATGTATGCAGTGTAGCCCACGGGTGGAGCTCTCCCCACGCCTGCTGCTTGTCATTGTGTGGCGTTCACTTGGGATCACTGTGTAGTGGCTCCTGGGTTTACAGGACTGCTCACTGTGTACGTTGTGTTCTTGTCCCTGCTTACTTCACTCTGCATGCTTGTCTGTGGAAGCCATCTTCTTGTTCCTTAAAACGTGTAACGTGCCCCAGCGTGTTTATCTGTTCCTCAATCAGTGGGCATCTACTTTGTTTCCAATTCTTTACTAACACAGAATATGCTGCTAGAAATATTTTTGTGTATATGAGGACTTTCTTCTTATCCTTTACCTCCTTGAGGATAAGCCTGGTAATGGAATCTCAGGGTCAAAGGGTGTGGACATTTTAGTCACTTTATTTGCATAATTCCGGACTGCTTTTGAAAATCTATAGGCTCTTTATAAAAGTCTTCAAAGCACTTTTCTCTCAACCTTCCTCTGACATAGATGACTATCCCCATTTTACAGATGAGGAAACTGAGGCTGAGAGATACAATATGATAAACATTTATTAAACACCTCCTATATGTTAGGCACTGGGGATACAAAGAAAGGCAAAAGATAGTCCCTGCCCTCAAGGAGCTTACAATCTAATGGAGGAAAAAGTTGAATGGGATGGGGGTGAGAACAAGGTTCTGGGAGCTGGACCACACAAGTAGTAAATTTCAAAGCCCAAGAGACTCAAAAAATATGAAAATTGGAAGGGAATTTGTTGAGTGGTTTTTCAGTCGTGTCTGACTCTCTTTGACCCCATTTGGGGTTTTCTTGGCAGACATCCTGGAGTGGTTTCCCATTTCCTTCTCCAGTTCATTTTATTCATTTTATGGATGAGGAAACAGAGGCAGACAGGGTGAAATGACTTGCCTAGGGTCACACAGCTAGGAAGTGTCAAAGACTAGATTTGAACTGAGGCAGGTGAATTTTCCTGACTCTAAGCCCAGCACTCTCTCTACTGCACCACCTAGCTGCCCAAAAGATCATTTTAAAGATGGATAAATTAGGTGGCACAGTGGTTTGACAGCTGGGCCTGGAGTCAGGACGAACTGAATTCAAATTTGGCCACAGATTCTTTTTTGGATTTTTTGGTTTTTGGTTTTTTTTGCATTTGGGGTTAAGTGACTTGCCCAGGGTCACACAGCTAGTGAGTGTTATGTGTCTGAGTCAGATCCTCCTGACTCCAGGGCTGGTGCTCTATCCACTATGCTGCCTAGCTGCCTCTGGCCTCAGATTCTTAATAGCTGTGTAACCCTGGGCAAGTTACTTAACCTTTGTCTGCCTCAGTTGCCTCAACTGTAGACTAGGGGTCACAGGAGCACCACCTCCCAGTTATTGTGTGGATCAAATGAGATAATATTTGTAAAGCACTTTGCACAGCTTAAACCGCTATATAAAGGCTAGCTATCATTATTCTTTACAAAGCACTTTCAATTCAGCAGACATTTGTTAAAGACCTACTATGTGCCAGGCACTGCTGGGGGCTGGGGTTAGAAAAGCAGGAATGAAATCATCTGTCCGCTCTGGGAGGCTGTCTCCATTTTACAGATGAGAACACCAAGGCCCAGAGGCCCTAAGTCACACTCCTTGGCGTTTCATAGTCGAGATTCAGCCGCAGGGCTCTCAGCTCCTCTGGCTGGACGTCTGAGGGCCTGAGACAGGCAGGGAGGAGGGGTCCCTGCCAGCACACCCTAGGGCCGCCTCCTTCCACAAGCATGGTCCCCTGGGCTGCGGCCCTCCTTCCCAGCCTTCCCCTATGTGTCTGTCTTTGGCCTCTGCAGCCTCCGCGGAGCTGCGAGCATTACTGGGCTGAGTGGAAACACTGCCGGACCTTGAGGAACTTCGTACATCATTACTACACCTACGGGGAGACCCCGGCCTGTGACCAATGGAAAAGGGATTACAGACACTGCCGGCAGTGGGAGGAGAGTGGTAGTCTGGAGGCCAAGGTATCCTCATTGGGGTGGGGGTTCTGCCTTTGGGCTAACACCCGTCCTGCAGAGAGCAGGAGAGGCCCAGGTGGCAGCTTCGCTGTGGACCGCAGGTGAGGTCCAGGGATGGGCCAGCCACTGGGGAAGATGGAAGACCCTGCGGTCCAGAGCAACGGCGGGCAGATAACCCCCACCAGGGGCTGTCGGGAGGGAGCCCAGGGAGCGGGGCTGGGGCTTCCCTTCAGCACAGGTAGGGAGGGGGATCCGCTGGGGAAGGAGAAGGTGCCCTTCTACTACCTGGGGTGGGGGGAGGGGAGAGCACTGAGGATGGATCGTGGGAACTAGGGTGGGAAGGGTGCGCCTCCTCTGCACCTGAGTGGTTGGGGCTTACAGTCACCCAGATTCACAGAAAAGGGGAGTGTGACCCTCCTGCCCTGGGCTCTGACGTGGATGCCTATGTAGACCAAGGGAGTGCAGGTGGGAGATGGGAAAACCAATGGAACCAGAAGGCCTCGACCTCCCCTGGAGTCCAGAAGGGCTGAGGCAGGCGTCCTACAGGGGGCTTCCAGGCATGGGGGCAGGGCTAGGCAGGGTAGCTGGGGGGGCAGGGAGGGTCCACAGCTTTGTGGAATGAGAATTGGGAAAGCAGAGGTGGTGCGGGGTGGGCTGACTGCCAGTCCAGCTCTTTTCTGGGCTGCGGGGTGGCTAAGCAGTAAGAGGAGCCCCCATCCCAGGGCCACGCTAGGGTTTACAAAGCCCTTTAGGTGGTACAAGTAAAAGCAGTACACCCATTTTACAGATTGCATTCAGTTCAGCATTTATTAAATCCCTACTGTATGCCAGCTGCTGGGGATAGAGGCCCTGCCCTCCAGGGGCTTACCTTCTAGGAGGCTTAGAGAGGCTCGGCTGATTGCCCCAGTGGCCCAGCCGGCAGTGTTGGAGACAATCCTCCTTGTGCCTCTGGACACACCCAGAAGGCCCAGGTCCACAAGGGCCCGTAGGAGGGGCTCCCCGCTGCAGGCATCAGGGCAGCCAGGTTTGAGGGGGCCTTCAGCCACGGGATCGAGCTGGTCTCTTGTTTATACAGCAATGCCTCTGCGAGAGTGAGCAAGCCCGCATCCTGGCCAAGCAGAAGCATGCCCCAGTGTGGACCATGAGGCAGAGCCCCCCCAGGGACTGGCACCTGCCTCTGCCCGGGGAGGAGAAATCCAAGTGAGGGAGCACACGGTGGAGGAGACGGGCTGACATCATCGAGGAGGCCGAGGCCACGCCAGCCCCTGGCTTCTCCTGCTCCCCGTGCCCAGCTGGCCAGCCCTGCCACCTCAGAGTTAAGCATGGCATCCTGTGTGCCCTGAGAAGAGATCTGGAGCCCAGAGCCACGAGCCAGGCACTGCCCAATCAGCTGGTAGTCAGCACATTCTCCAGACAGCACAATGACTGTTCCCTCTGCCCCACTCCTGGGGAAAAAGGCATCTGGAATACCAGGGTCTTGTGCTCTGGGGATATCAGGATGCTCCCCACCTCGCCTGTATGTGTGAAGTGACCTGGCGTTACCTCTAGGGCACCTCCTGTCTCCGTCCTGGCATGATGCTTGCTCAGGCTCAGGGCCACTGCCAGGCCCTGCCTGCCCCCTCCAGCCCGGGCGCCCAGCACCTGCCTCTGCTCCTTGGGGTGCTTTGAGCTGCCCTCCCTGTGCCACGTCCTGGCCCTGACTGCACCAGCGGCAGCAGCAGGTGAACCAGGAGTCCATCAAGCCCCTGGCATCAACAGATGCGGGCACAGCAGAGGCAAGCCTAGACCGCCACGCTTCGCTGACGCCTCCACCTGCTAAGAGGTACGTGCACACTTCATGCTCCAGAGAAGGACCTTCATGGAGAAGGACCTTCACGAAGAGCCGGGCTTTTCACAGCAGATTTTAAACAAAAATTGAAAATAAACGCATCCCCATCCAATGTCTCCATGCTTTTGTGGGTGTCCTGGTACAATGGAAAACAAATGACCAGACCTGCACAGGCGGGCTTGGCACCGTCCTAAGGACCCGGCGGCAGCTCATTTTAAAAAAATCAAACTCTAGGGGCAGCTGAGTGGTACACTGGATAGAGCTCTGGCCTTGGAGTCAGGAGGACCCGAGTTCAAATCCAGCCTCAGACACTTGACACTTACCGGCAGTGTGACCCTGGGCAAGTCACTTAACCCCGACTGCCTCACCAAAAAGAAAGAAAAAAAAATCCAACTGCCGGGGAAGGCTCTCCAGTTCCCACGGTCTCAACACAATAGTGAACTTTGAATGTATTTGCACTTGTATCGTCCCACTCAGTGCCCAAAATGTCTTTCACACGCAGCCAGCCGGTGGTCCTTGGGGGAGGGGCCCCAGCCCCCGGCTCCTCAGAAGTGTTTCTGCTGGCGACATTAGGCAGGGAGGATGAAGCCCAAGGCCAGGCTGTCCCTGCAAGCGGCGCTCAGGGGCCCAGAGCAGGAGAGGCCTCAGGTTCGAGGCCAGGCTCGGGGTCAGGAATGATCCGCCTGGGCCAACCGTGGGCGATCCCCTTAACTTCTGCATCCCAAGCTGTGATCTGAAGCCCCCACACCGGCGAAGAAAGCAGGGTGCGTCAGGCCAAACGTTGAGAGCCTTCAGAAGCCCCATCTTCCGGCTGATGCCTAAGAGGCACTGAGTACAAGGGCAGCCCACAGGACGTGAAAAATGCTCGACAAAGTACTTTTCCACTGTAGACGGGCTGGCAGCAGGCAGCGCGGACTACATTTCCACAGCCACCGTCCAACCATCCGTTTGTCATCTCGATCGTCATAATCACCAGGGAAGGAGGAGCTGCAGCTGGGCAGGCCTGGGCTCACCCCAGATCCATCCTCCCTCCCCGTGTGACCCTGGATAGGTCAGAAGAGGCACCTCTAGGGTTGGGGGGGTTTTAATAGCAATCTTTCCATTTATTTTCTACAATAAAAATTCATTCAAATACTTAAGCATAATGTTTATGAATCACAATTCTTTTATTAAAAGAAATACACCCTCCAGGACCCAGTGACCCCCCCAAGCCCTGCAGGAAGCCCCGAGGCCCCCTCCCACCTTCTCGAATATACCTTCTTAGGTCTAGACTGACTCCTCCATTAGAATAGGAGCTCTCTGCAGGCAGGCGACCTTTTTGCGTCTCCCCAGCACAAAGGGAGGTCTCTGAGGCCCAGACGCCGCAGGAAAGTCATGGGGCTGCAGGACAAAGGCTGTGCTCCCTGCTGGGCGTGGCCTGGGCTCTCCCAGAGATACACAGGACAAGGGACTCGCCGTGAGCCCCCACCGGTGGGTGCCTGGCATCTGGCCTATCTCTTGTGCTCCCCCTGTACATACACTTTGGTGATATCGTTGTACTTGCCCTCGGGGGGCTGGTAGCCAGGGCTGGCTGGGGTGTAGGTCGGGCCCTCCTTTTCAAAGGGAAACAAGCCTTCGTCTCGCCGGGCAGCGGCCTCGTAGAGCAGCTCAGACTCTAGGCGCAGCTCCCGCAAGGCCTCTTGCTGGGCCTCCAGCATGGACGCGATCTTCTCTCGCTCGGTTTCGTGCTCCTGCTGTTTGTAAAGGGCCCACCTCTTCATGAGAAAGGTCCTCCTCTCACTGTCCTCCAAGGGGAGCTGCCGATCCGGGCGCTGCCTGGGGACACAGAGCAGCTATGGAAGAGGGGGCTGGGCGCCGCACACCGCCCCCCCAACACACACACACACACGCCCCGCCCCCCCAACACACACACACATCCGGGCGCTGCCTGGGGACACAGAGCAGCTATGGAAGAGGGGGCTGGGCGCCG